CTGGTGAGCTGGAGTTACATGGGAGGTAGGGCCAATGGGGAACCCTACATGGCTTTGGGCAGAGGATGCTGTGAGATGCCCTTGCAATGTCTCCTTCTAACCCTGATTCTCAGCTCTAGTAGAGGGTGGCACTAAAGGACTGGTTTGCAGGAAGAGCCCATTGTGAGAAAGGGAACAATCGTACAGTTTTCTCCTCATTTATGTGTCATTCAGCAGTGCGGTAATCCTCCCTAATTGCTCCAGTTCCTTGATGACATTGAACTCTTCAGGGCACCTCCCCTCCCTGCACTCTGCCCCAGCAGCAGCTGAGGTCAGAAGTACATACACAGAGGTTAGCTGTGTCTTGATCCCAAGATGGCACAGATGGCATTTCCCCTCCTCCTTCGAAATGGCAAATTTCTATTTTCAGTAATGTAGGTAGATAACACAAACCTAGAAGAAAGTACTGTGAGTTTGTGAACAACATAACAACCAAAGTATGTTTGTGCTAACCAGAGACACATGCCATTTTCAGCTACAGAGTCATTTTCATGATCAATTTAAAGTGCTATGCATTAAAAATAAAAAAAAAAACAGCTTTTACTTGAAACAGATTTAACAGGTTATTTTTAATTTTACATCTACATTGCTGTTTTAAAAGACAGGCAGATACATTGTATATTTCTTGAGTAATTCTCTCCTGGAAAGGCCCACAAAAGAATTGCCTCAACCAAAGAGTTAACCTCTCGACCCTTGACCATTTTCTTTTCTGCCTTTACATCTTACATTTTCTGCTTTTTCTGCTCTTCACATCAGCAATTTCCAACCTTCTCTGAACCAGGGACTGGCCTTGGGGGAAGATAATCCCTCCACGGTCAGGGAGAGGTATATTAGTCGCACAGAATGACCCAACTGCACCACTTCCACCAAGCACCCCATTTCCTCCACTACCACATTGCAATATGCATTGAAATAACCACAGGACAATAGGGTTTGTGCTCCCATGAGAATCCAATACTGTTGTCAGTTTTGTAGGAAGTGGAGCCCAGGTGACAATGCAGGTGATGGGGAGTGGCTGCAAACACAGAGGAAGCCTTGCCCGTTCTCCCCACCACCACCCCCTGCAGCTCACCCCTCACTGCACAGCTCTAGCAAACTGGAACCAGTCCACAGTCAGGCCCCCAGCAGACCACAGACCCATACCAGTCCATGGTCCGCAGGTTAGGGACTCCTGCTCTACATAATCCCAAACTGCTTCCTTTCCCTCACTCTGCTGACAATAGGATCTGAAGTTTGCTATTGAATAGACTTAGGTTTAATTCTGGTTTCACCACTGAAAAGCCATATAGAATTGAACTGATCACAGAAACTCTGAATCATAACATCTTTTTCCTAAAATGAGATTAAGTCAAGCACCTGCCTATAGGGTTGATCTGAGCAATAAACATGTGCGTAAATGGCTCTAGTATAGCTCTCATGAAATTCAATGTCCAATAATAATGTTATTTTTGTCACCAACGCAGATCATAGTTATTTCTCTTTCTTATGAATTCCAAATAACACTAACCCTTTGTAGCATTCATTTGATATTTAGTTATATGCTAACTAGGTATGTCTCATATTATGTATGCATATTTTGTATGAATTTAATACTTCATAGAAATATATCTATATGTTCATAGAAGTGCATGTCATAAATTTAGTACTCACTGAAGTTTCACACACGTAGTATACCCATGCAATAAACATTCAGATCAAGAACAGAATAGTGCCAATGTCTTAGCTGATTTTCTGCTGCTATAATAAAATGCCACAGATAGGGTAATTTACAAAAAAAAAAAAAAGAAGTACATTTGATTTACGGTCCTGGATATTGAGAAGTCCAAGTGCTTAAGCATGGTGGAAGAGAAGAATGAGAGCTCTTGAGACAGAAAGGGAGTTGAGGGCTAAATTTATCTTTTCATAAGTAGTCCTCTTTCACAGTAACTAATCCACACCAGTGATAATGGCTTTAATCCATACATGAAGGAGAAGCCCTCTTCATCTGATCTCCCCTTAAACTCACCACCTTTTAATATTGTTACAAGGCAAAAAAGTTTCCAGCACATGAACTCTGGGGACATATTCAAACCAAGCAACCAATCTTCCAAAAGCTCCCTCATGTTCCCTTCTGGAAGTTAAAGCTCCCTGCAAAGGTAAGTAACCATTATCCTGACTTCTAGTTATCAAAGCTACACCAACTTATTATTTATGATGTTGGGAGGACAATCAAATGAAATTTAAATGTCTTGAGGTCAGGGGACATATATTTCATCTTTCATTGCAATAACTATTTGCTGGACATTCTCCTTCTAATAGTCCCATCTCACATTATTGTCATTCAACTGCACTTATCTAGCCACACCCTAGTCCTGCGTGGCCCCCTCTGGCTGCTTTTCTGCATCTCCATGAGCATTACTGGGCACTCTCAGAGGAGACCAACCTACTGTTCAGCTTGATGTCATGAAAATCTATGGGTCCATCCATAACTGGCTACTCAGTGGTGCCCAGCCAACCTGTCTTATTTTTCTAAGCAGTTCTCTCTTCCACTCTTTACAGCTATTTCAAACTACTTCCCCTTAATTATAAAATAATAACTTCTAATATGAAAATTTTAGAACCATTATATTATAATAGGTCTTTAAAAGAAGTTCATGAAAAGTATATATTATGGGAACCAGCAGTTAGCGTAATGGCTATGTCGCTGGACTCCCACGTAGTCAACCACGGTTCGTGTCCCGAACCTGGTGGCTTAAAACTCACGCCGGGCACATGTGCGTGCATGCCCAAGATCCCGAGAGGAGAATGGAGGAGAAGGGATTGCGGCGTGACCATCCCCCCTGGGGGGTGATTTCTCGCTTTCTGTCTCTCTGTCCCTCTCTGTCTGTCTGGCGAGCGCACACGCCCTATAGCGAAAACCTCTCAAAAAAAAAAAAGTATATATAATGGAAAATATGTATGGATTTTTATTTTTGCATGAAAATAGACTTGTACTTCAGTTCTATTTTTGTATAAGGTATTCGAAGTATTCTTGTATAAGACATAATATTATATAATACAATATAATGTAATAGAGTCAAACATAATACCTTGAGCTCTATTAGTCAGAGATACTGCTAATTTTCTGGCATTTTATTTTTCTAATTTTGACATGCACACCCATTTTATATGTGCATTTTACAAAGTTGAGATAATTATATTCTTTACTCATTTTTATAACTAAACATTTACTTGTGTCATTAAAAGTATTCATAACTCTTTCAATCACTTCAATTAGTCCATCATCTGAACATATAATTAAGTATTCAAAATATTTACCTATTACTGGGACCAGCAGTTAGCGTAATGGTTATGTCGCTGAACTCCCTTAAAGCCAACCATGGTTCGGGTCCCAGACTCGGTGGCTTAAACTTGCATCGGGCACTTGTGCATGCATGCCCAAGATCTCGAGAGGAGAATGGAGGAGACGAGATTGCAGCGTGGTCAATCCCCTGGGGGGTGATTTCTTGCTTTCTATCTCTCTGTCTCTCTCTGTCTTTCTGGCGCGCACACGTGCCCTATAGCAAAAAAAAAAAAAAAAAAAAAAAAAAAGAAAAGAAAAAAATTTACCTATTACTAAATATTTAAAGTTTTCTCATTTCTTTTGCATTTTTCCTTCATATGTCTTTTTAAAAATTTGTCTACTGCATCCAAGAGTTTCAAATTCATGATGCTTTTATTTTTTTTTTGGAGAGGTTTTTGCTATAGGGCGCGTGCGCTCGCCAGACAGACAGAGAGAGACATAGAGACAGAAAGCGAGAAATCAGCACCTGGAGGGATGGCCGCGCCGCAATCCCTTCTCTTCCATTCTCCTCTGGGGATCTTGGGCACGCACACACATGCGCCCGGCGTGAGTTCTAAGCCACTGGGTCCGGGACACGAACTGCAGTCGACTACGTGGGAGTCCAGCAACATAGCCATTATGCTAACTGGTGGTTCCCCATGATGCATTTTTTAAGTTTATTCATTTATTTCTTCCATGAGAGTCAGAAAGACAAAGAAAGAGAGAGAGAGAGAAAGAATCTTCAGCAAGGTCTCATACTGTGCTATTCCCCCCAGTCTTCCAGTCAGCTAATATGTCAGGAACATATGTGTGAGCCAAGTGTGTAGAGGTCAAGCTGCGAATGAACCCCAATATTCCATATGGTTTTCAGCATTGCAGAGCAGCATACTATTCCTGCCCCACCAAAGCTGGGCTCCTGACTCTTCATGTCTTGTCAAGGCACCCACTATAAGAAAATAATCTATTTTTGTGGCCATTAATATTTGTGTTTCTCTCTTTCAACTTTTCTATGTTAAAAAACTATTGAACCTATAAAAGAAAATGAAATGAAAAATAAAAAATAATAATGACAAATTTTTTAAAATGATGCCTTGTTGTGGTTTTAATTTGTAAGTTTTCAGTTACTAAGCAAGGTCAAACAGTTTTTAAAACTATTTACTGTTTATTTCTTCTAATTAGTCCCACTTTTATTTATTGATTTATTTATTCTTTTCCATGTCTTTGCTTAATACCAAGAGAATAAGAAGTTTCTAGGTGAGGCAATCGAGAAGATACACAGAGCAGAACTCAAGCTGGCCAACTCTTTTACTTTCTTCCTTTTTAAAGGCTGAAAATACCTGGTAGACTTGTAAGTAAGAGATGTGATCATCCTTAGGGTTCACTTTTTAACACTATTAATTACTTGCATTAAATGCTTTTAAGCAGATGAATATATTACCTTTCAGTATGACAAAAATGTAGGGGGAAGGAAAAGTCTTAGGTATTAACAGCCTCTCTATGGTAAATGATCCATTGACAAATAACCAATGTTTACCTCTACATTCCACCTGCTAAGTTACTGCTCTTCATGGCATCAGACTAACACCTCCCATTTCATATGCTAGACTCGTATGTGAGGACTGCCCTGTGAGTAACAAAGGTGAAAACTGTTTGTTCACAGCAAAGACGACGAGAACTTGAAGGCAGAAACTCAAGCAGCACTCCAGAAACCCATGATTGGTAATGCAAGGCAGATAAACAGAGACCCCCCAACTTCCACAAACCCCACTGAGGAGCAAACCAATTATAACTCAGATGAAGTGGAAGATAACAAACACCCAGAGAACAACCAGAAACATCTATTGGGGGTACATAGTAGCAGATTCCTGGATGGCAAAGTGAGTAACAAGAAACATCCATACTTTTCTTGATAATTCGTTAGAAAAACACATAGATTCACATACTCGTTTGAATAAATGGTAATTAATATGGTTTACATTAGATAAAAATATTATTTCCAATCTCAAAATAAATTTCAAGGTCATTTTATATATTGCATCTTTCTTGACCACCAATTTAGTTGGTCAATCTATTTTGCTTTTAGTTAATTTCTTAATACTCAGTAATACCATGGTAAGCGTCACTATGCATGCAAGGGTGAGGTGTCTTTGAGGGGAGGGTTTGCCTGCTTTCACATTTCAAAAAGAGATCATTTACTTCCAAAATCTAATGTGACAACGTCTGGATATTAAAAAAATTATAGGCCCTGGACCCAGCAGGTGGCACTGTGTTTAGGATACTGGACTCTCACATAGCAGACTATGGTTCAAGTCCGAGACATGGTAGCCTGCAAATCATGCCAGGTGTATGTACCCAAAATTCCAGGAGGAAAATGGAGGAGAAGGGATTGTGGCATGGCCATCCCCCCTTGGGGGGAGGGGAGTGATTGATCACTTCCCCACTGTCTGTCTCTCTTTGTCTCTCTCCAGCAAATGCACATACCCTATCAGGAAAAAAATAAATAACCTTAGGACCAGCAGTTAGCGTAATGGCTATGTCGCTGAACTCCCATGTAGTCAACCATGGCTCGAGTCCCGGATGCGGTGGCTTAAACTCATGCCAGGCACGTGCGCATGTATGCCTAGGATCCCAAGAAGAGAATGAAGGATAGGGATTGCAGAGTATTGCAGAGTAGCCATCCCTCCTGGGGGGATGATTTCTTGCTTTCTGTCTCTCTGTCTTTCTGGCGAGCGCACACATCCTATAGCAAAAATCTCTCAAAAAAAAAAAAAACCTTTAAAAAAATTATATATATAGGCCCCAAACTGTTAAAGGAGAAATATATCACTATACTCTATTAAAAAGTCAACTAAATAATCCATAACAAACTAACATAATAATGATAAATCTAAATGATTACTAATTTATAATTAAAAAGCAAGTATAGCAGCAATTGAAAACTGGATCTAAATCAAGACAAAGCTAATGATTCATTGATAATAAAATACCATTTCCAAAAATTGCTGAAATTGCAATTAAACAGATACATGAAGTAGGAGTTTTGCAGCACTCTGCCAAGCATTAAGTGACTGCCAGATATTTTAGTAGAACACTGAATTAGAGTCTACAGTAAACTCTAGCATAACTATTTTTAGTTTATAATTTTAATAGCCCATTCTAAATCATTGAGATATTAGCTGGTCTTTATTCAACATGAGAACATGGATGTATATGGATTTGTGATCTTTTAATAAGAAGAATCATGCAAAAAAACAAATCTGGAGTGGTTCACAGCCCACCAACAGCGCTCAGACTGTACTCTGTAAGGCCTAGTTGAATACCAAAGTCCAGAAAAGTGACTTGCCTAGAGTGTTAATGATATAGTCCAAGCTAGACTCAGGCCTCCAAGTCTTGAGTTAATGTGTTCTTTTGGTTTTTCCATGGTAAGGAATTGAATTTAGAGCAAAGATCATGAATCAGCATAGGTTAAATAATCTGTTATGAACTTCTAAAGACCTCTGAGTCTTTATACCAATTTTGACTCTGCCATCAATATATTTGCTGTTATTGCTGTTTTCAAAGGATGACCTTGATAATAACATTAGTCATAGAACATGTCATTATTGACAGATTGCTTTCAGGTAAATTTCACTATTTGTTCTTTGGAATAAGAAGTAAGTGCCTCACACCTACCTAGAAACTGTTATTTCTATTATCATAGTGCAGGTGATAAAACTGAGACTCACAAAAGTTAAAATAACTCGTAAGTATGCAGATAAGATGTTTTCTCTGGTTTCTCTTTCTTCTTCATTTAAATTTTTATCAGTCTTGGGAACCAGCAGTTAGTGTAATGGCTATGTCGCTGGACTCCCACGTAGTCAACCGCGGTTCACGCCCCGGACCCGGTGGCTTAAAACTCACGCCGGGCACATGTGCATGCGTGCCCAAGATCCTGAGAGGAGAATGGAGGAGAAGAGATTGTGGCATGACCGTCCCCTCTGGGGGGTGATTTCTCGCTTTCTGTCTCTCTGTCTCTCTCTGTCTGGCGAGCACACATGCCCTATAGTAAAAAAATCTCTCAAAAAAAATTTTTATCAGTCTTTCAAATTATAAAATACTATGTAATCATGGGGAACCAGCAGTTAGCGTAATGGCTATGTCGCTGGATTCCCACGTAGTCGACCGCGGTTCGTGTCCCGGACCCGGTGGCTTAAAACTCACGCCGGGCGCGTGTGCGTGCGTGCCCAAGATCCCGGGAGGAGAATGGAGGAGAAGGGATTGCGGCGTGACCATCCCCCCTGGGGGGTGATTTCTCGCTTTCTGTCTCTATGTCTCTCTCTGTCTGTCTGGCGAGCGCACGCGCCCTACAGTGAAAATCTCTCCAAAAAAAAAAAAAAAAATACTATGTAATCATGTAGAAATTTTGGAAAAGGGGAAAGAATACAAATAAGAAGAAATAAAACTCAACTATAAAACACTAGCAGTTTTCTTTCTCTTCTTTCTTCTATGTATAGGTATAAAATGAGAATTGTGTATGTACTCTTTGTTTTTACTATTTTTTTGAGAGGTTTTTGTTATAGGGCACGTGCGCTCACCAGAAAGACAGAGACAGAGAGACAGAAAGCAAGAAATCTCCCCCCAGGGGGGATAGCCACCTTGCAATCCCTTCTCCTCCATTCTCCTCCATTCTCCTCTTGGGATCTTGGGCACGCACGCACATGCACCCGACGTGAGTTTAAGCCACTGGGTCCAGTACTCAAACCACAGTCAACTATGTGGGAGTCCAACAATGTAACCATTATGCCATCTGCTGGTCCCTATACTCTTTGTTATCCTGCTCTATTTACTTCATGTTAAGAAGTGAATATCCCCTTGGCATGAAAACATTCATCCTATATATCATTTTTCAATGGTTCTATGAGTCATACTCAGAAATAACACTTGGGTAGCATTTAATGTGTGCCAGAAACTATTCTATAAAGTATTCAATATGCTCATCTATAATAAATATTTGGAGCTTTCAAAGTTCCTCTTTTTCATTTTATTTTGCAAATTAATTTTACAAATTAGTCTGGAAACTAATTTACTATTCCCAAGCATCCAATGAGGTAGGAACTCTTACTTGTTCACCTCCTGAGGGAACTGAGACCCAAAGAAGTCATGTGCCTTACCAAGTTTCTAAGGCTGAAAAAAGGCAGAGCCCAGGTTCTAGGTCTTTCATTTCCAATATGTCCAGTTCTTTATATGGATATAAGACGGTTCATTTAACAAATCCTTTCCAGGCATTTGAGCCATTTCTAGTTTTTCCCTTGTAAATGGAAATCTGTTTCTTGACACTCCTTCCAATACATCAAGCTACCATGTCCTGCATGGACTTTGCTATTGCCATCGTAATGGGTAGAATGTTCACTGGGTGAACTAGGCTTGGACCTCAACGATCTGGATCTCTGTGGTACCAGAGAGAGATAATCTGCCCCTCCTTTCCCAGAACTCAACAGGGATTCCTGTGTGAGGCTCAGCAATCTAACACCCAGCAACAAAACACAGGAAGACCTCGTGGGAGGTGTGGGGACTGACTAATTGGATCTGTCTGCCGGGCGGATGGTAGTGCTGGCCTGCCAGATGGCAGCCACAGTTGCTTGGTCGAGAGACCCTCATTACCACCTTGACTAAGTGGTAAATGGAATCTTGCCTCAGCTACAGACACAACCCAATCATACTCCTTCTAGATTCTTCTCACTCACACATAGATGAAAATAAGCTTTCCTGCTTGGGACGTAACAAGCAATCTGGACTGGCTGAATTTGCTCCAAAAGAAAAGCGGCTGATAAAGACTGAGCTAACACGGGCGAAGATGGCAAGTGTGAAACTCTTCCAAATGACAGATGAGGTTTGAAGAGTGTTGTTGGTAGGAGATTAGTAAAGCTGAAAACGTTATGAGAGTCCATTATTTTCTATCCACGAGAACAGTAAGGTGTCTTAGAAATCAACAAGTCTAAACCTTCATTTCACAAATGAAGAATGAGAGTCCCAATGAATGTAAATGACTTGTCCAAGGTCTCATTGAACTCTCTAGTCTTTTTGCTTCCAAATTCTGCTTTTTA